GCAAAGTGTGCTCCAGCCCAGCGGGGTCGGTTTGATTTTTCAAGTAAGGAGAGAGTTTATTTGAGAGTTTTCTAGATGCACAGAGATACCATCGGCAATAAACAAAGCTGGAGGAAATAGAAGAGCAGTAAGCGTAATAATTTATTTTTTGTTTCGCTTTAGTTTATTTTTAAATCTATAATTCCTAAAAGAAAGTGTTGGTAGTAAGGAAGAAGGGAAGTGGTGGATTTCTTACGGGCTTTGGGTTTTGGGTTTTTTTTTTTTCTTTTCAAAAATCCCATTTCTTTACTCAGCTGGGTTTCTTGCTGACCAGTGACTGTGAGGAACCCAGTTTGAGACTTGATTTTTTTTCTTTTCCTTTTTCCCAAGAAGTGCAGAACTTGGTGCCTTTTTAAATCAGGGTCTCCACGAGACCTCTGATGCTCAGCCTCTGAAATCACGTGCACAGCCCTCGTGCTCTGTTTCTGGTTCTGTTGGTCTGGTCAGCAGTGATCTCATCCCGTGCCACGTGCTGGTCGGTAAATGGTCAGCTGGGTGATGGGATTTAGCGTGTGTCTAAAAATACGAGGCAAACTGGAACGTCAGGAATGCGAAGGGCATCCCTCACCTTGCACGGTGAAACCACCAGAAATTTCCCACTAACCCTTTGCAGGTCAACTGTAGAGATAGTCTTATCTGTACATCACCTGCACTGCATTCCCTTATAGCTCCGTTTCTGGCATCTTATTGTCAGCAGGATGTTATGCGTAGCTTTATGGTAACGTTTGCATGCTGAATGCAGTTTTCTTGGAGGGAATAGCATTGAGAAATGGGTGAAGAAGTAATAATAATCTGCCTAAGCCCCCGTTGTTTAAGCCCACAGCCCTCCTTCTCCCGGAAGACAAACATACAGATAAAAGTATAGTTTTCCCAAGCAACGTGTTCAAATGATTTTGCTAACCCTCTCGTCTGCCAGTGCTGAGCAGGGTGCTTTCCCCCCCAGGACGTCGCTGCCTCGGGATGGGGCCGGGAGAGCCCCCAGCGCTGCCCCAGCTGGTGCGGTGGCACGGCCCTCGGGTGTGATGCGGTTTTGGTCATCGTAGCCTTTTGGAGGGCGGTTCAAGGGACCAGCACATTTGGAAGCTATCGCTCGCAGCTCCCGGTGAGCTGCAGGAGCACTTCCAGGATGCAGCAGCCTCGTTTCTACTAGATTCCCAGTTTTGAGCAGCGGGTTAGTTTTAAGAGGGGAAACCCAAAGGTCTGAGCTTATGAAATAATCAGCGTAAATCTGAAGGGAACTGGTACCCCCCGGCAAGAAATCTTTTTTGGTTTTACCATCTGCCTTGGGAAACAGAGCGTCTGCGTTTCCAGGCTGCCATAAAAGAAAGGGGGAGGTATAAATAACCAGTGAACTACAATTCCACCTAGTGTCATATCTGCATTAGTTGTACTAACATGTCCTTGTGTTGCAGAAGCAACGAAAAGCCTCGGATGAGATCAGGGGCCCCTCGTGCCAACTGCTGCGTGGGTGCGTAACAACGCGGATCCTGCCTGGCCTAATAGGAAACGATACCAGGAGTGGCAGGAAACATTACTGGGTTTCTCTGCAAGTAAGAAGCTGCTTTACAGGGAAAATGAGACACAGTTTAGCAAACACTTAAGGATTGACTTACTTTTAAGAATGTTGTTTAATCCTGTTGAAATTGAGAGGATTACTTACCCTTAAACGCATGCTTAAGCACTTCCCTGGCTGGGGGCTGGCAGGCTGGAGCACAGGAGCTGTGAGAGCAGCTGGGGTTGCGCTTGGCTTTTCTTGCTCTTGGCTACTGCCTTAGTGGTTGTTGTTGTTGGAAAAATACTCCCCGATACTGGGACAGTTACAGTAAGTCTTGCTTTCGGAGATGCGAAGCTTCGTGGAGGCTCTTTGTACCTGATCCCTCAAAGGGAGTCGCTTTGCTTACGTACCTGAGCATCGATTTGGGAGCCTAAGCGTAGGCAAGCACGTCTGTGCACGCTGGCTCGTTGCTGGAACCAGGTCCCAGGCTTTGATGTGCCAGGATGTTCAGCACTTGGGGCTTTTCATAAAAGAACAAAGCAAAAATTGTTGGCGTAGAGAACAGTGCGCTTTTCTCTTAAATTTCCCTGGAAGTCAAACCCTGCGGTATAACTGTCTGATTCATAAACTGATTTTTGTACTTTATAAGTCTAATAATAGACCGCAGAAGAGACTCATTCAATCAGTCTAGGACTTCCCTTGGACTGTATTAAGCCCCGTAGAGCGGGGCTGGGGGCTGCCAGCTGCCTTTCCAGCCTCTGTGCCCCGTTTGGGCTCGGCGTTTGCAGGTACCACTTGCCGGCAGCAATGCTCTGCCTTGACGAGTCCTGGAGCCTTTCATGGATACTAATGAACCCAGTCCCACCTCCTCTCCCAAACTGGGGAGAATTTTAGAGGCAGGAGACTGCATCACAGAGAGATTTCACAACGTGGCCGGAGTGGTCTTTTAAGTTGCTGACAATTTTGGGTGTAAGACCTGATTTCTTTGACTCCCGGTTACGTTTTAACCTGCTTTCTCCTGTTGCTGTTCATGTCATTTCTACAGGCAAAGCCAGCTTTATTTAAAAATGCAGATTGAAATGACAGTGAGCACTTTAGAGTGCTGGGAGGGACATGGTTCTCTTGGAGCATGGAGCTCGCAGGCAGGGTTTGCCTTCTCCTTCCAAGGGGGCTCATCCCCTTTCGCTTTCTCCAGAGCAGGTTTGCTCATTGAAGCCTGACATTACCAGAAGCCACGTCTTTGCTTGACGCTCCTCAAAGCCAGAGCAAATGAGACACCAGCCAGAGACAGGGGTGTGAGAGGGACTCGGAGAGCCAGGCTTGCTTAAGACCCCCCCGAAATGGAGGTGGGAATCTCGCCGGCTGGCGCTGGCAGCTTGCAGCTCGCTGGCAGGAGAGCACGTGGCTGAAGCACCTTTTCCAGAAGGGACCAACCTTTCTCCATGCTGCTTTTTTGTTAGATTACAGTAAAATGGGGAACTTAACTGCATTAACATTCATGGCACTAAATTTCTGCTTGAGAAAGCTTACAGTTTCTCTTCTAGTTGCACAGTAATTATGGTCTGTAGTCAGTGGCTCCAGGGCATCCCTGTAAAACCAGGCATGCCAAGGGTGGTGGTCTGGTACCTATCCAGATGGGCTCTCAAGAGGGAGAAATAAGCCAAAATATACTCATGACAGCAGTAGCAAAAGCAATGCTTTGCCTAATTAAAAAAAATTCCTTATCCACGTCCTCTGCTTAGAGGGAACTTTCAGGGGCAACACCCTAAAAAAAAAGATGTGGAAGGATGCTTTGGTAAAGCCCTTTTTTGCTAGAAGCATTGCGTAGGGGCAGTAAAGCGTCCGAGGTGCGAGGAAAATTCCATCGTGCTCTGGAGCTCCTTTCTGTGTTGAACTCCCATTAGTGACATTTTATACCAGGGAGAAACTTGGCCACGTTTTGACATTCACAGAGTCGTTGGCCTTGTTGAATAATTCAGCACCTCTGTTCTCTGTGTGAAAGTCAACTGCTAAATGCCAAACTGTGGCAGCTCCTTTGTTGCTGCCCTGGCTTCGGGTCCATGCGTGTGGCACTGGCGGCTGCCAGCCGGGCTGGAATTCATGGCAATGGTAAGAGAAAACAGTCCTGGAGCAATTAGAGGGATGAAGATCACAAAAGTGTGGACAAGACAGAGTCTGGAGCAGGATGCCTGGGATCTGCCGCAGCAGGAGGAGCTCAGGCTCCAGGGCAGTCCCGGGGAGCTGCGTGCGTGCATCCCCTGAAGCGAGCCTGGTGCTTGCATGCCTCTCGCGGAGGGAAGGATTTGCATCAGGATCCTTGATGCAACTCTGATTGACGTTCTGGGATAATACCGTGGGAGGGAGGGAGGCTTTGAGTACCAACGGCCGTCCCAGGGGAGAAGTCAGGCGCTTACTCACTTAGGGCATGTGCCCCCCTGGGTGACTGATCCGGAGGTGGCTTAGCAAGCCAAGGAAGCGTCCCTCAGCGGGGCAGCGTGCAGTCCCTAAAGAAAGCAGCTCTAATGGGTGCCTCACGGCTGGGTTGGGTGCAGGGCGGCTCCAGACAGGCACAGCCCCTGCGATGGTCGGGTTTGTATGCCTGGAGGAGAGCAGGGGGCCCTGGACAGCAGGGACCGCTCAAAAAGTCCTTTATCTGTGTCCTGGACGCAAGCTTCTCTATTCATTCCAGTGGACGGGAAACCAGTCCAAAAATAATAGGTTTGTTTTTTCAATCTAGCTTTGAAATGATGAATATGAGCACGAGTAAAACATGTTTTATATCTATAAGGGACTAAAACCATTCTTTGTCTTCACTGAAAATTCTGCATAGTAATTAAAACTGCCATCAAAAATGGGAGTTTTCAGAAAAAGCTGGTGGCTTTACTGTTCCCGATTGTGATGCTGATGAAAATATTTTGTTGTTGAATCACTTCTGGCTGTTTTCCACCAGAAAAGGGTGGCAGTTTGCACACACCTCTGACAAACTGATGATGCATCTTTATTGAAATGCAAGAAGTCAAAACCATTCAGTCTTGGCAAGTTTGCCTCAATAAGATCATTTTGTGTGGGGAGAGACGAAAGGAGTTATAAACCTTTTGTAATAAAATACAAAGTAAGAGGGTTTTTTCAATGGTTCTGAGTGTTGCACAAAACCTATTGGAGCAGGTCTGGACGTATTATATGCGCGGCAGGATGGAGTTTCCTCAGATGACGCTGTTGAATGGATATCTCTGTAGCTGAGGGTTAAATGTCTTTTGTGCTCAGTGGTAAAACCAAAAGCGGTGTTTGCACTGATATTGTCCTCCAAGCCCTGATGGTGACGTACTGTGACACTGATGGGGGGACTGGAGCGCATCCATTTCAGTGGGTGTTCAGGTCCAAATACTGGGCTGTGGGTCCTTGAGTTCCCACCAAACCTTCCTCTGTCTTCAGTAAGCACACCAGCATCTTTTTTTCTCATTTCCAGGTGATCTCTGCAGTATCCAGACTCTCCTTCCACAGTATTGCTCAAACCAAAGGAATTAGGTAAGAGCCTTTCAATACGACGCTTTGAATAATGTTTCTCTCTCTCCCTATCCATAGTCCTAGTATTTAATCACATCAAGACTCTTTAGAAGCATGAATATGGTTGGGATATATTAGGGTTAAACAGACATCAAGGATGCCTTTGGGTTGTAGGCAGGGTACTTGTAAAAGCACCTCACCAGCTGCTCAGGAATAGTTTACAAATGAAATAATTGAGAATGTAACAAGTTGCGTGCAGTATGCCTGCTAGGGAGGGTAGCAGGGTGGGTTTTAGTGTCTCTCGCTGGAGGTTTTGCTCAGGTCCCGTCTGCAGGAGCTGTGCTGCTGAGGACCGGGACCCCAGGAAAGCCAACGGTGCCCGTCCCTTTTGCCCTGCCCGCGGAGCTGTGGTGTCACCCCGCTGTCCCCACCCCTCACCTGCCCTGCTCCCCCGTCCGTGCAGAAGCGCCCAGGTGTCCTTTCTGTCACTGACAGCTGGGAAATTTCTTCCTGGCTTTGACGAAGGCACGTTGTGCGGAGTGGGTAATGGGGGTTAATCAGTAACCTGACCCTGGCACCCAGGGTGGGCTGCCCTGCTGCCGGGGCTCCTCCTCCTCTGCTAATTGAAGGAGCGAGGGAGAAGGAATTAAAAACAGCAGACAACTCTATTAAGCAGAGCTGTTATCCTGGTCTTTGTTCAATTCCCTGCAAAATGGGTTTGCAATTGGTTTTCTTGTTAGTGTGCATTTTTATTATTAATCTGGCAACATCTTCTCATTAGGACCACAGATGTAACTGGGAAGAGTTCTCAGCCTGAAGCACCTTTCCTCCTTTTTCTTTTTTGTTTGGGTTGTGTTTTTTTTCCCCAGCTATAGAACACATTTGCTTTTCTTTGCAGAACGTGTCTCGCTGCTGTTCTGGTCAGGGTGTAGCATGGCTTTGGTCTGTGGCTGCATTCCGGGGCCAGCCACAGCCGGCGTGTGGGAACGTGGGCTGGATGGGACCCCTGCTTTACTTCTAGCCCTGCTGCCCGTGCCCACCACCCCACACCACGATTTCCACTGTTTGAACTTATTTTCACTGCCTTAACTGCACTGATATTGCTGGAGGGGAACAGCTTTTCACGTGTGGAGCCTTCCCATCTGTTAAACGCAAATCTGACAGATCCCACCAGGACTGGAGGGAGATTCAGGGGGCGAAGGTTTGAGGAATAAAGATGTGCTGTAAGTTAAGGACTATTTATTATTAAGGATAGCCCTGAGTCCTGGAGAAGCCTGCAGCGATTATTATTTTAAGGGAGAAGAACATCCAAGGCATTTGGAGGCAGGGAGTAATGGGGGAACCCGCGTGCATAAGCTGCAGTGCCTTTGCAAAGGCTGGGTTTAAAGTCTCAGGGCATCGCTGGAAGAGGATGCAATGCGTTACCCCTGGCAAAGCTCTTCCCGAGGCAGGGAGGTCCTGGTGTCAGTTCAGAGGATGAATGAGCTGGCCGTCCTCTGGGAAGGCTTTGGCTGAATCACTGTTGTTTCTGTTGAGGTCTCCTGCTGCTGGGGATGGGCGATAGCTGGGAGCCAGGAGCAGGGAGGCTTTGCTATTCTTGTGGATATGCGGCTTTTTCTCATTCATTTTACAACCAGCGTTTACGGTTCCCACTAAAATCCCTTATCTTGGAAGCCTTTGGCACCATAATCACACAAGAATAGCACAGAGCTTAGTGGGTCTTTGCTTCTAACTCTGTTTTCCTGCATATTAACCCTGCTCCTCCTCCCCATTGCCAGCTCTGCGAGAACAGAAGATGCTGTTGCTCCATTAGCTGGAAAATACCCCTCCAGGGGTGTCCCTTCCCATCATCGCTGTCCCCTGCAGGCAGAGAGCCCTTGCTTTGTCCAGTGCTGCACGTTTTTCCTTTTAATTAGATGATTTCTTGCTAATCTCAGATGAATTAATTTAGTCTGGGGGAACCAGCCGCAGCTCTGGCTCCCCGAAGGGACTGGCCACGTCAGCCACCACTGCCCCTCAGCTGATTGGGGTCCCTACCCTTCCCTCCCCCAGTGAAGATGCTGCCATTGAAATAAATGGGAAGAGTCTTGTTGGCTTAGGCATGGTGCTTAAAAACATGGTAAATACAGTGCAATTAGGATGGTATGTGGACTGTACGGTCTTCAAGCCCCATAGCATGAATGTGGATCTGCTCCAACCTCTGTTTTGGGGTCTAAGACTTCAGGATCACACAAATTAAGAATGAAATAAATCCCCAAGCCTATTACTTGTTCTTAAGTAAGTTTCATGACATGTAGGGTAGAAAAATAAAAATCAATCTTGTATGCTATTCAGTGAAAAAAAAAGTCTTTCTGTCTAATAATCTCTGGATACATAAAACTTGCCAGAGAAACCCTGTTTCACCGAGTAAATCAGATAGCTATCAGGATAGCTATGTTGAGATGACAGAGTGTTTCTTCCAAGGAACAAGCTACAAGGAGCAAAACATGGCAAAAAATGATCTTGAATGCAATGTTTTGTTTGCAGCAGACTGCTAAGGCTGGGCTTAATCTATTGCAGCTGTAGCTACAGCCCGTGCTGCGTCTTTCCTCCTCCTGCTCTGTTCTAGTCCCAGTTGCAGGTTTCAGAAGTTCCGCAGAAAACAGTGTCACCCTCCAGCACGGTGCATCGCTGACTTCCCTCCTAGCAGGCGACGGTCTCTAATGATTGCCAAAGTAGATTTCTCTCTTGCACGAGGCTGTTTGTGCAAACAGCACAGCCGATGTTCCCCCGCTAATTAAAGAAGCACGTAGTTGCAAGGACCACCACACCGCACTGGGTTATTTTTTGGATAGTGCCCTGTGCATAGGAAGACCCTTGATGACAGAAGGTTTACTGGTGCCTCCTAGGAAAAGGCACGTTTTCTGTCTTTAATTTAAGGCATTCAGAGGAAAGATGGTTTTGTGGGTAAAGGCATGCGCTGAAGGGAAAGCGGATGTGTGAAACTACGTTCGGATCTTGGCTCTGCCCCAGGTGCCGTGCATGACCCTGGGCAAATCCCTCAGTTTTGTATGTCTTCTTTTCCCCTCTCAGAAAGGAGGTGAGAAATGACTTTGTTCACCTGGCTTGTGGGAGACGAGACCTGCCTGCTCGCGTGGGCGCAGGCAGCCTTCGGCAGCGCTGCCTTTTGATCTCGTTTGGGAGCACAGGTTCTGCAGTAATGTGATAATACCCTTTTCCTGGGGTTGTCATCCGTGCATCGTTTTACAGGGCTGTACGGTGGGGACAAAGAAAAGATCCTCATTGTGTAGCATTGCCCATCAGCTAAGGAGAGGAGATTTTATTTTTTTTTAATTGTTACTTTTTCTTATCCTCTCCTCCATCTGTCTGGAGGACTGTCAGCGGTCGCAGTGAGAAGTTACCACCCTGCTCCTTGCCCGTGCGCGGCTGCCTCTGAACAAGGAGCCTTTATTTTACAGCCAGGACGCCAGGAGTTTCCACGGCAGACCTGACTCGCGGCCCATTAAGTCCATTACCCCGTTCCTCACGGTGGCTGGCACGGAGCTTCCAAGTCAGGTGGGAGGATTTTGTAGCAGGCAGAAGCAGCGTGGTCGTACAGGGGTATTGTGCAAAGGTTCTCCTGTGCATGAGTTTTCATTCCCTTTCCAAGTTTTCTCGAGCAAACTCAGCTCTCTGGAGGACAACAGGACTTCTTGCTGCAGGTCCCAATAAGCCAGGATTTTTTTTTCCTTAAGACTTTCTTGCTGCAGCCTGGCTGTTCTCCATTGCCCAGCGTCCTCTCAGCTCCGGCCGTCATCCACCTCGTGCGAGCGAGCTCCACCGGCTGAATGTGAGCTGTGAGCGGAGGGGGCATGTGTTTTTTCATCTCCCCGAGATATATGTTTTTCCTGGAAGCAGAGTTTTGCAAGCAAAGCAGGACGTTAAGGAATATTGGCTCATGCTGCCTGCATGCATTTTTAATGTGTGCACAATGAAACCATCTGAAAATGGGAAGGAGTTAGCTTGTTCAAAGGCCTTTTACTGAGGTCCTTAATCTAAGTAAACCCTTTATATATGAACTGAACCTCTCGGTGACTTTCTTCGGAAGGCACTGCAGTTAATAAAATAGATTTAAAAACATTTGCAAATGGGGAGGAGGGTTGAATCCTATTTGTCAAGAGGAGGTTTTCTCCTGCGGGAGCAGTGGCGGTGAAGGGAAGGAGAAGGGGATGGTTGTGTTTTCCCCATCCTGGGGGCCAAGGCAGGACCCCCTCGGGTTGGTGGCCGGCCCAAGCTTGTTGGAAGAATAAGTGACATTAGTTTTACCACCAGGCAAACACAGCGAGGCCAGCCCATCGCCCTGGGCTGAGGTCTACCTTACATTTAAACAAATAAATAAATAGAAGCCAAAATGCTGATTCTCTTGGCGTTTAACCTCTGCACATCACATGCCCTGAGGTGACAGAGCAGATTTGCTGGCAGTGGAGGGCAAGCCCTTGGCTGGGAGCTGCCTGTGGCTGGTTTGATCTGGGCGAGAGGTGACGGGCGCTGTGGATGCCTGCGAGTACATTAGGAGCTGGGATTTGCTGCTTTGCTTAAAAGAGGCTCGACATGTCAGTAGAGGAGAGGAACCCTCCTGGCTCTCCAGGGGATGGGCTGACTCCGGTCCTGATGCTCACCTGAGCCCCTGGGTGCCCTCCGCCCCCCTGCAGATCCGGTGCCGAGCGGGTGTCAGGGACAGGGTGCCTACCGGCACCCTGTCGAGTGCAGACCACTGTCCAGGCCATCGTGTCTCCATTTTGCCCATCTCTACAATGCAGACGGTGAGTTGGGAGGAGAGAAGCTCAACACTGGGATTAGCCCAGGTTGGAGCCGCCTCCGGTCAAGTTCAAGGCAGCTAAATGAGCTGTACGAGCATCCTCCCATCAGTGGGGATTTAACCCAGAGGAGACTTTCCTACCACCCTGCTTTGCCTGCAAACCCCGTGCCTTGCTGGCGAGGTTCAGTATTGCTCAGCTTCGCCCAGGTAAACTGTTAAAACA